TAAGTGGTCTATTAACTTTCAGATTCATTTCAATTTTGTCTACTTGGTCAAAGATAACGGAAAACTTCCTATTCTGTTAGAGATCAGTTAGTTCTCTAACTATATTTTTTTCATCTTTTAGTCCTCAAATTTATATTTGTTATAAAAATAGTTTTTATACTTAAAATTATTATTTTTAGGCTCTGATACCAGATTTTTATACTTAAAATTATCATTTCTAAGTGGTCTATTAACTTTCAGGCTTTGATACCAAATTAAAGAAATAGGAAAGCCAGTATAAAAATTTAGTATCAGAGCCTATAAATAATAATTTTAAGTAAAAAAGTTATTTTTATAACAAATATAAATTTAAGAAATAAAAGATCAAAAAAAATATAGTCAAAGGACTAACTCTTCTTTAACAAAATAGGAAGTTTTCCATTATCTTTGACCAAGTAGACGAAATTGAAATGAATCTGAAAGTTAATAGACCACTTAGAAATAAAACATAGTTTCTATACTAAAATGAAATCAAGGTGATAGTTAATAGACTAAAAATTAAATTAAGCCCCCTCTATTGATCTCTCTTCTGTTCCCACCTTTAATGACTTTATTTAAATAAGAGAGAGAAAAGACTTCTCCTTCACTTTCCTCGCTTTCTCTTTCAACTTCCTCGATCCAAACAAAGGTTTAAAGTTTTTACCTTACTACCCCATTTTTTCTTTCACTCCAATTTTTAGTCGACTACCCCCACTTTCATTGGAAGTTTATCTTTCTGAATTTTCATGTGCGAAGTAGAATTTTGAAACACTAAGGAGTTTTGTCGACTAAATACAGGGCAAAGGAATTTGGAGGTAGTAGGGCAACAACTTTCCAGCAAGGTTTTTGCCTAGCTCCATAACCAAACACTAGTCATACGCAAATTCTAAAGAAATTATTTTTAAAGAAATTTTAAATTACAAATAGTTAAATCCAAAACAACAAAAGGAGGCACAAATATCTTCCAAATACATGTAGCGTCATTGAAAAATGCCCCCCCCCCAAAATTAACAACAGATCACATATAGAGTCCTTCAAGAACACCTTCTTTCTTCTTGAACATCACCTTTTCCTTAGCCTTCTTAAAGTTTGCATGCGTAACCTGAAAAACAGAGAATTTAGTTCCAAGCTTAAGGAACAACTTCAATCACAGAGTGATGATCATACACAGCAGTCCTAATAATGATCCATGATATTAAACTTAAAAGTGCTAGTTCTACTTGACATACAACAATAGTACATAGCTTGTCTCATAAAGGTCAGAATCAAGTTAAAGATACTGTCTATCTTCTAAAGGTCAGACCTTAAACATTTTAGGTTAGTTATGCGTTGGATAAATAAAAGCATGGTTAAAACTTAAAAAGGGTAGATCTTTTTTCTTTTAACTGTTGAAATGCAAGATTTAAAATGCTCAGTTGGCTACCAAAGGACATACTGTTTTTGCACCAACTTGTTGATAGGCACAACACATGACACATGTTCTCTTTTTTCTCAAAATAATAATGAAAATTAGCAAACTCTTATTTGATACCTCAAGAGAAAAGGGCTGTATATGCATTATGTATATCTACTAGTACTTGTGAAGTGTTTGTTATTATAATAGCTTTAGATCGAAAATATGCATCTGATATGATTAGACAGAAAAGTGAAAATTGCCACCAGATTAAGAAAAATGTAGCTCTTAAATTGTCTTATGAAGAAAAGATGAAAGCCTCACCTTCATGTGGCGCTCCCTTAAAGCAAGTAAACCTACTTCAGTACATATTACCTTTATATCAGCTCCAGGGAACTCATCTTTAGTCATAACAAATTCTTCTAAGTTGACATCATTAGCCAATGTCATCCTTGAAGTATGTATCTGCACTCAACAGATTTTGAAGACAAGCTTAGCAAAGCAGGCAGCAACCTTAACATGTTCACCCATGAGAGAGAGAGCTTTATATATACACTAATTATTTTTGCAAAGCCTTGTTCTAATCATGAAATGCCACAAAACCCTAGAATATACACTGCCTTGTTTTGATGTCAGGAAGTGGAAATTCAATCTTCCTATCAATCCTACCAAGGCGAAGCAAAGCTGGATCAAGTCTCCCAATTCTCTTTGTTGCAAGAATAACTTTGACATCTCCTCTTGAGTCAAAACCGTCTAATTGGTTCAGCAATTCTAACATTGTCCTCTGAATTTCTCGTTCACCGCCTGAGTGGGTGTAATTGCACCAAACCATAAATCCTTCTTCAGTCCGCATCTTCACTTCGGATGTACCTGCAAAGCCCCGAGGTGGGTCCTCGAGGTAGACACTCCGATGCTTAAGTCAGCAATAATCGGGGTTACCTTTAGAGTAGAGATAAAATGAACTTAAGGTTGGTTTCAATTACCTTTTTGAGGTGGCCCCTGGGGGTATTTATAGGCCTTTGTGAGGTATCCACGTGACTTGCTTAGCAGGATAAGCGGAGTGTGACGTGTTCCTTAAGGAGATAAATTCGGGACCGGGAAATTAAGAGAAATTCTGGTGTGGGCATGCTCACCGTAACTGTCATGCAGCTGTTTGACTAGGAAGTGCTTCACTTCAGTTATTAAGGAATTATAGCAGTACATCCGAGGTCTTTAACCTCAGACCTATCCTTACACTATTCCCCCCTCGAAGTCATTCACTTGTGAATGATTAGTGTGGAAGATGAGTGTAGATGGGGGTAGTCAATATAAAAATGTATGACATGAAGTCGTGTTTTTGGCTGCAATCAAGGTAAAAATGCATGACATAGAGTCATGTGTTTTGGGTCGTAGCCAAGGAAAAAATGCATAACACGAAGTCATGTGTTATAGCCGTAGCTGAAGTAAAATTGCATCACATGGAGTCACGTGTTATGGCCGTAGCCGAAGTAAAATTGATGACTCAATCATTGTGGCTAGAGTCGAAGTAATATAGGTGACATGTGGTCACTATGGCTAGAGTCGAAGTAAAATAAGTGACGCATAGTCACTATGGCAGGAGTCGAAGTAAAATAGGTGACTCGGGGTCACTATGGCTAAAGCCGAGGTAAATAATGATGACCGGAGTCATAGCGGCCGGAGCCGAAATAATAAGTAATGACCGGAGTCATGTGGCCGGAGTTGAGGTAATAAGTAATGACCGGAGTCATGTGGCCGGAGCCAAGGTAATAAGCAATGACCGGAGTCATACGGGCCGAAGCCGAAATAAAAGTAATGATTGAAGTCATGTGGTTGGAGTTGAAATAAAATGTGTGACTTGGGGTCACTGTGGCCGTAGCTGAAGTAAAGATGCATGACCCATAGTCATGTGTTATGGTTGTAGCTGAGAATGATGACTTGAAAATGACGACTCGAAAGTGACGATTTGCAATCTCATGAGCCATAATAATGGAAGTCAGGCTTTTGAGAGTCATGCTTTATAGAGCTAGGATCAAAACTAGTTTTTGTAGAGTTGATTGAATGCCAATTTTGGTAGCTGGAGATGCCTACCACAGAATCCCACCTTGAGATACCCATAAGAAAATCTTAGTCTCTCGAGTCATAGCATAAAATCAAACCCCTTTAAGGGTTGTGCTTTGTAGAGTTAAGATTGAACCGAGCTTTCATAGAACAAATGAGCTGAGAAGCTAATAGTTGATGGACGCAAGCTCTTGTAGATCGAATGAGCTAAAAAAGCCAATAGCTAATGGGCTCAAGGGCCAATAGTATTTTCTGATGAACTGATAAGTTTAAAAGCTGATAACATATTTCTGAGTCTTCCAAGCCAAGAAGTTAACAAACTCATGAGACTTGTAAGAATTCATTCTAAACATAGAACTTGACAAGATACCATTAGTTCATCAATAATCAATAATACATGAGATGCATCAACATTAAAGTGGCACAATAATTTAGAATTAAATATAAATGTCTGTGGCATAAGTCATCAAAATAAACAATAATAAGATATGAATATTTAAAATATACTTAAGTTGAGTTATTCAAGCAGCAAATTAAATGCATGCCAAGTAAAGTATAGAAGTTTATGTTTATGTATTCCCACTCCCCCTCTCAAAGAGAGATTTATCTCTTTGAGTTAGAACTAATAATAAAGACCACTAGGTCATGGATACCATTAGCTTGTAAATTATTCCACCATTTGTAGGAGGCTCCACAAATGTATAAATAAATGTCATTTAAGCCACTCACTTTTAGTTAAAACATGAAGAATATATTGTATTCAATATATTCAATAAATAGGGGCTTAGCATATCTTATTAATGAATGGCCCATGAGAGGTGGAACAGGATGGCTAGTGAAATGGCAAGCTGGCTGCAAGCTTGCTGACTTGAAAAGTTGGCGAAGTAAACCAACTAGCTACAAGCCGAGATCTTTAGAGTAGATTCAAAATGATTAACATGGCTTTAGGAGGCTAAGTGCCAGTGTTTTAGATTTCTTTTTAGTTTATTGTATGCTTGTTCTAATAGACTACAGCCCACAGGGCCTCCACGCTATATAAAAGTTCATAATATATATATATT